TAGATCGTGTCGGTAAGCCTTTTAGTTATAGGGGGGGTATATCACTACCGGGTTATTAGCGTAGCGGCTTCCCTATAATAGTCTTATAGTATTACGTTTAAATAATCTTCTATACTAGCTTTAGCGTTTTATCGGCGTTTACCCTATTAGCTAGTAGTCTGGAAAATTAGGTACGTAGTTTATATAGTACGCCTTCGGTACGCCCGCTCGGTGCCTAGGATTTTTAGGGCTCTCCCGGGGCTACGCGCCCCGGGTTAGTTCTAGTCGTCGTATTCTAGGCGCTCTATAGTAGTATACCGGTATCGTGTTCGGTTAGCCCTATAGGCCGCCCTATAGTATATAACTCACCGCGCCCTTTACGGTCTCGCTGCGATATCGGTCTCCGGTGCTTTTAAGGGCGTAGAGTCCGAATCCGATATCAGAGTTAATTTTATCGATAATACGGCACCTTAGGGGCACTTTCGGCTTAACGATACTTGTTTCGGGCGAGTTAAATAAATATAATATCGCGGAATAACTGCTCTTTTTAATATAACCGCTATTAACGCTCTATCTTACTTACCTAATATTAAGGATATCGAGATTTAACGCCTATCTATACCTAAGACTTTGTGGCTTTATCGCCTGCCTATAATCGACGAATCTCTTAGTAGAATTACCCTACCTAGAGGCGGGAGGTGTTTTAGACCTCTTACCTCTCCTTTAGCCTCGCGATAGAACCGGCTTAATAGCTAATCGATTAGAACTGCTTATCAGGACGCCCTACTACTAATTTTATAGGATTAAACCCTATAGCCTTATTCTTAAGAACTATCTCGAGATTTAAGGCTAGAGCTTCGGGGTCTTTAGCGTATCGCGTGCTAGAGCTATGGTCGGATTATAGAGTTAGCCTCGAAGACTACTAGTTAGCGGATTACGATACGTTAAGTACAGTACGCCTATAACGCTTAAGAGCTTACGCCTCGGAGGTTTAAGCTACGCCCTTATAGGAAAAAGATCTAAACGCCTATTAAATAACGGCTTTATAAGTGGCTTTAGGAAGACCTAGAACGCTATATATATAAATAGGGCAATTTACGCTAGCTTATACCTGGTTTTACCTTATACGGCGATATAGCTATTTAGTCTACGATAAAAGATCTCGGGTATTCACGTTATATTCGACCTCGCCGTATTAATCTAAAAGAAGTCTATAAATATAAACGGCTCTTCTTCGCTATTAATATATTAAAGCTAGCCGGAGTCTATAAAGCCACGCCGGTCAGGGTCCTCGAAAAGGAGACCTTTATCTCCCCCTTAACCTATACCTCTTAAGCCTTAGTGCCCGGAAGGTCCGCCGGATATAAGAGGAGGGAACCGAAGATAAGATACTAGCCGGAGTATACGCCGTAGCGAGAGCCTTAGCAGCACCGAATCGATACTACAGGACCTACGCGGCCCTCGCGTGGATAGCCTAGCTTAACGCCCTAATAACCTGGACCGGAAATGCGGCCCCGAGGAAAGCCCTTATAAGGGACTAGGGTCGAACCTGGGCGGAGGCACGTAGGCCCTATACCTACGCCGTAGCGGCACTAAGCCGCCCCCCGATATAATACTCCCTCCGAAAATATAGAGGGCTACTAAAGCTATAAAGCATCGTACTCACCAAAATCAGATCAGAAAAGCTAGGCCTATAAGCCTTCTTAGTAAAAGCGAGGGTGCCGGGATTTCTAATAACGCGGTGCCCCTATAGCGACGGAGGGGTAGAAATAGCGGAGTATATAGTGCTTTAGTACTAGGATATAACCGAGGAAAAGCGTAGGGAGCTCTTCGGTACTATAGGGAGGCCACTCACGACTAAAGGGGATTTATACGACGTACTAGACTATAACACCGAAGCCGGGGCGATAGCTAAATAGTTCCTATAACGGAAGAGGCTTAACGACTTTCGCCTTACCCTTAAAGTTATAAAAGCCTACGAGAACATGGCGGCACCGTAGCGGGGAAGGAGTAATATAATAATCCAGTTAGTATTAAATAGGGGCCCTACTAGCAAGGACCCCGGCAGTACAGAAGCGTTATCGGGCTATAGCCCTCCCCCTCCTCTTTACTCCTCGTTAGCCTTATCCTTACCTCCCTCGGAGGCACTAATACCGCTCTCGATATACTTAAGGTCCTAGAACCGGTTAGCTATTCTGCTACCACGGGGGCGCTGTAGCGGAACCGAAAGGGGACCACGTATATAGTTATCTATTAGGATACCTACTATCGTTTTTATACGGCGGACGCGGCGGAGGATATCCTATAAGGTCGCCTCCACCGATAAGGTGCCGCTACGGCTATAACCGGAAGACAGCGCCCGAGAGACGGCCTATCTAAAGGATAAAGCCGCCGTCTTTAAGCGCTCCTTAGCCTAATAGGTTATTAGTAAGGCGCTACCGTGATATCATAAAGAGACTATTTACCGTAGCGATACTATCGCTATTAGTAGCCTTTACCGATATATACGGACTATAAATATTAATAAGACGCTATTACTGCTTCTTCGTAGCGGGGGGGACCTATTAACTAATTAGATTACCTCGATATACCGATAGCACTACCACGGTATAGTAACGGCTTATATCCATATAGGGGCGCTGGCTATTAGTATATTAGAAGTATACGGTACCGGTGCTAGTAGTATTAGCATAGGCGGAAATATCGTCTAGGTAATTACCTAGACGCTTACTATAATAAAGGTAATTACTATAGGTTAACCACCACGACACCACTTCGGCACTATTAGGGTATATATACGGTATAACTCGAATAGTACCTTACTTATACCGGTTATTATTATTACTAAAAGGAGGTATCTACGGATATTAGTATACTACTACCACGGTACCGCTATAATACAGAGATACTTATATTATGCTTTTATTTATAGTTAATATTAAGATTATTATTACTACTACTATTATACTACCTAGTTAACCCCACGCCACCGCCACGCTACCCACGAACCACCACGTACTAGTTCTGACTAAGGAAATTATAAATTAAGAACAGGAAAACTAGAAGATATTATTAGTTAGTATAACACCGCGACAGTAAGCCTTTAAGGCCGTAAGCGGGAATATAATAGGGGATACCTATAATATACTCTATAGCGTTATAAGAAGGAAAAGAGGAAAAAGAAAAGGACCTCGAATTCTATTATCTATCTACTATTTTTTCGGGTATAGACGGAGCCCTACCCTTCCTACCTATTACCGGATATAGAAGGCACCCCCCCCCCCCTAAGGGAGGCAGGAATGCCTACCTCGCCTTTTCTTTATTAATTAAATAGAAGGAATAATAGGCGCGGCCCCGGGGATATAGGGAGGCCGATATTAGTATACCACGGCCGCTATATAGCGGAGACCCCGCGGCACCCTTTCGGCCCCCGCCCCCTTACTAATAACCAACCTAGGCTAACCCGAACCATAGTCTACTACCCTTCCCGTTAGCTACTAGCCTAGAGGTATAATCCAGATACGCAGACGGGGTAAACCGGGGCTATATCGGCACCGCAGAGGCACCACTCTAACTAAGGATAAGTATAGAGGTTTTTCCCCTAAAGCCCCGGGTTTTTCCCCTCTATAGCCACCCGAGAAGGACCGTATAGTCTAAATAAGCTGTTATAGATTAGATAGGATAGCGGAGTAAGAATAATAAATAAATAAAATATATTAGAGCTCCTCCTAACGTCTAATAACTAGATTAATAACCTTATCGTTATAGCTAATAAGACCTAGGCTGTAAATAATCCGCTCTGGAAGTAGTGGGTAATAGTTCACGATATAGAACGCCCCGAAGACTTCCCGCTACTTCGGAGGAACCCTAAGAGATAGATATTTTAGGGCTATATTTTAGGGCGTATAAAAGGACCCTATTATATCCGGCCGAAGGAGTATAGAGGCGTTAACGGGGATAGATTCGTTAAGTTTATCTACCCGAAGATTAATAGCTTTATAGAAGAGCGACTGCTTTATAAGATATATTAGTATAACGGTGCGCCCTCCTATAGATCGCGGAAGGTTAAGGAGTAGCTTCGAGACTACGATATTATCTTAATTAATTACCCCCCCTACTCCCCTAATCTCGCTCCTATAGAGTATATGTGGTTTAAGATAAAGACGTGGATTAAGGACTAATATTTATAGTTATAGTGGATAGGAAGTAAAGAACTAAATGCTACTATTAAGGCTAGGAGGCTATTAATAGGAGGTTTTTAGAGTCTCATATTCGTACGATGTCGTAGCGCCTATATTAGGTTATTAAGAGGGATAGAGGTTATACAGATTTCTAATTTTTTTAACGATAGTATTAAGGATGGAATTATAATTTTTCTGCAGGTAAAAGTACTTAGAAATACTATTACTTTCCTCCTATATTGATGTGCTTCTACTTACAGGGTCCCTTATTATCTCTGGCCAGTCATTTTCGAGATATAGAGAAAAGTATTAAGCTAACGTTTCTAACCCCGGCAGAGGTATACTTTAGGCAATAGCGTAAGGTTAGAATCACAGATGCCTGGTAATTAATCATAACCTTGCCTTAATTCTCGTGATATAAAGTATTGCTTTTTTTTATACGTGGTAGACTATTATATGATGGCTGTCTCCTGTACCTTAGGTTGTTAAGGCGCCTAAGGAGGTACATTCTGTACCTTACCTACGTAGGCACCCTCGGAGGGGCGAAGGGCATTGCGATCGATACCTATGAACTGCCCTAAGTACGTGTACACCGTAAGTACCTATACGCACTACGTGAGATGTCAGAGACTTGAAAAACGCTTCCAACCTAAGGTAATTCTAGCCATTCACAGACCTGCCTACCTACGTATTCGTACAGGTACCTTACCTTAGGTAGGACCCTGGGATGTTTACGACTTGTACCCACACCAGCAGCAGAAACCGAGAAAGTCTTTAAACTGCAGTTTTCAACCCATAATACCTGTACTCTAAAAGTATCCATCCAGCATACCTACCAAAGACAGCAACTGCGCAATTACCCAGGTTCCCAATTTCCACTCCTTCCCACCACTCTGCAGCCTTGTAACCCGCCCAACAGCAGCCCGCCTAATCCCTGCAGGATCAAGGCCACATTCTGTCTGGTCTCCCGGAGAACTCGCGCTCTGGAATTCCACTGGGCGCCCTCGTGACACAAGGACTGCGACATCACGTTATTGTACCTGCGTTCGTATATCGTCAGCAACCTCCTCGATCTTCTCGCCCAGGTCCGTTGCTGTCCAACAACGTGGTCATTCAACATGAACTTCATCGGGTTGCAGATGGTGGTAACCCTCAGAAACCCTCCAGGGGTGAAGTTAAGGGGTACAGTGAGCGAGGTCATACCTGGGCAGAGCCTTGTTCTGAAAAACGGTAAGGCCTCTTCTCTTCGAGGCTTTCCCCCATATATAACATAAATAATCGCTTTGGACACCATCTGACGCGCGCTCTTCCTCTTCGCAGTTCATACCGTTGGCACCGACAAATGGATGCGTCTTATCGCCCTCGACGCGAACAACATAGCAGACGTGACACAGTATAAGGAGCCCGCTCCAGCGCCCAACGATTTCCCGTCTTCGGCTGCCACTCCCATGCCTGCTGCCATCGTTGACCAACCAGCTTCGCTTGTATTCGTCGACCCCGCCATCGTCAGTCTGGGGAAGAGGCCAGCTTCCGTCTCCCGAACGACGGCTACGGCTAGTGACTCCCAACCGCCACCGCAGCAGGTATCGCCTCGACAACGACAACGACAACCACCAGCACCTGAAGACCTCCCCGCACTCGACATGAGCACGGGTCCGCAGCCTGGGCAGCCGGGCGTGATTCCCGCTTACCTGGTCTCTGCTTCGAAGACACAGGCGATAGCGGCTAGTCTACAGGAGGAATTCAAATCATTGCACATTGGGAACGTCAACAAGTATTGCGAAACCCTCGGTGAGCAGAATGAGAGGAACGGCCAAGATTGGCCGGGACAGCCTCCAAAGAGAAAGAGCCGGAAATCGAGGCCAAACAAGACGGGACGGAACGGAAGACTGGAGGAGCCGCCAATGGACACTTCGGCAGCGGATACGGCGACATCGGCGGGCCGCGGGAAGGGGTGGAGGCAGACACCAATACTACGGAGCACCGCTTCGTTTCAGCCATACAAGGCCCTGAGAGGAAACGGGAAGAAGGCCATGGCTGACAGCGGATGGGCCTCAGGAGACGTCACCGAGGAGATGGGCGAGTTCGACTTTGAAGATAACCTGGCCAAGTTTGACAAGCGCAGCCTCTTCGACCAGTTACGGAGAGCCGATCGCGTGGACGAGGCAGATCGGCTTGTCTCGCACAACCGCAAGCCCAAACCCGGCGCGACGACGGGTGGCAAAAACTTCCATTACTCAGAAAACGTCCTGGACAGACCCTCGTCCACGAGGCTGAAGATGGCCGACTATATCTGGTCCAGCGAGGCAGATGACGGCGACGAGGGTGTGGAGGGGCTCAGCGGCCGCGACGTCAGGAGTAGTCTGAGCATGCGTCGGACAGATAGCAAGTCCGGCACAGCGAGACGGTCCCAGTCCCGAAAAGCCAGTGGGGCGGCAACCCAGCCGCAGTCCCGCATGCCGCCGGCCACGGCCCCTTTTCAGCCCGGCTTCTATCTCGTCCCGTCGAATCGCCGCGTTGAGACGGTCTCGGCACTGCAAATGCTCAACCTAGAGAACATTGCGGCCAACGAGATCGGGCTGACGGAGGATATGATGGCGGAGAACGCGGGCCGAGGCATCGCACAAGTCACGTTGACGGCGCTGTCGGATCCCGCGATCCAGCTCCGGCTCGGTACCGGAGGCCCAAATGGCCCGCACGTCAGCCCGGCAAGCATGGGTACCGTCGTCGTCCTCGCGGGCAACAACAAGTCGGGCATCCGTGCGGTGGCCGCGGCCCGCCACCTGCGCAACAAGGGCGTTAGCGTCCTCGTCTGCGTGGTCGGCATCGAGCGCGAGCAGGATCTGCTCGAAGACATGCGCCAACAGGTGCGCGTCTTCAAGAACATGGGCGGCCGTATCCACAGCAAGATCGAGCTCTTCGAGCACATCCGCAAGGCGTCGCATCCCGCCCCTCCCGTGACGCTCATCGTGGACGCGCTGCTCGGCCTCGCCATCTCCTTCGAGGAACTGCGCACGGGCGACCAGGCCACCGTGTACGAGCTCATCGAATGGGCGAACCGCAACGAGGCGTTCACCCTCGCGGTCGACGTGCCCACGGGGATTGACCCTTCGTCCGGCAAGGTCAGCATCATCGACGGCAGCCGCCTCTATGTGAAACCGCGGTACGTCGTCAGCATGGGGGCGCCCAAGAAAGGTCTCCTCGAGGCCATGACTCCCGAAGATGGTGACGACGATGGCCTCGAGAACGGCGGCGCAAACGGGGATTCCTCCCTGGTGGCCGACGGAGACGAGTGGAAGCTCTTTATCGTCGACCTGGGTCTCGGCGCCGCGGTGTGGAGGAAAGCCGGCACCAAACTCCGGCGAGGGGTCGACTTTGATGATCAGTGGGTGTTGGAGATGCGCTACCAAGGCATGGCAGACCCGGATGAGGCAGATTATTGATACTCGGGTGGCTGGGTCTGAGCGAGTTGGACGACATACTGGGAATGGAGAGATTTTCCGGCTCGATTCGTGAGTGGCTTTTTGCGGTTGAAGGTACAATTTTATCCAACCCCCCCCCCCCTTTTTTTTTTTTTCCAAGAATCATTTACACGTAGGTACAACACATTGGCGTTTGAAGCGGGGCATGACCGGGCGGTTAGGGAGGGTATGAACAGGCCATAAGAAAAGTTAACCCGCATGACCAAGGCGTTAGATGACACGAGGCGGCTTTTATCATTCTGCTTAAAAGGGAATAACAGATAATGAATATCCATTCTGAACCATTCAGATATCTGCAGTGCACCAGCACTTCGATTAGTAAGGCCATAATCTACGGATAAGAGGATTTATGGCTTTAGAGATGAGGATTATGGGTAGAAGGACGGACTTGAATGTCATATTCAGAACAGGGAGGAGCAACTGGGGCCACAGTCAGGGCTCGTGCTTACTCTATGTATTCCCGTATATATTATGGCTTAAATATTATGAGGCACCCTGTAATTGTAATTAATATATTATAAGCTGAGAGGGGGCAAGATGGAGAGGGACTAGGGATTAAGTGTCAGTGAACATACTCCATCCCTCTAGAAAGACTTGCATCCTGAGAAGCTTCCTGTCACTTCAGGTTCAAATTCACGATGACAAAGGTCATAGCAGAAAGAAGGAGAGATTAATAATATGCCTATTCACACCGGAGATAAGAGCGATTTTGGTGCTGATTATCACCGATTAATTACCGGGAATGTATCGTCATTCACCTGTTTGCCACAGACCTACTGGATTGTTTGCCTTGTTGAAATTTTCAGCCTATAGGTACGGTACTTCCAGGAAGTCGTTGTCTCAGGATTCGTTCTATCTGTACGGATATCTCAGTACGGATAGGTACCTAATGTGGGGAGAAGTAACTACCTTAGTTGGTTCCGGTGAAGGGGAGCACATTTCGGTGTCTGACAGGCAGCTACAGTACCGCGTCCAGCGCATGCGTGGCCAAACAGTTGCCTGAAGTCCAGAGTGGAACATGTTCGAAGCTTCCGCAGGCATTGAATCATAGAGCTAGGTAGGGGACCCATCCTCGGCAAGAACGATGTGCCAGGCCATATCAGTCCATGAGGTACTTTGTATTTGGGATGACATAATCTTGTCTCGCCTCGCATCATTCTTATTCCGCCCTATACTATGATCTCATTGGCCCGCTCCACTATATCCAGCTCTTGCCTCGCAGGTTCCAGGTCATCCGTGGGTTGAACTCTGGACAGCTCTCCAGATAACCACCTTCCAACTTTCCACCTTAACTTCCAATCTTAAACCTCAATCTCTTCGCCTCTTCCAACCCCTGAAGAGCTTCACGAATCCCCCTACTATTCCCTTTTATCCACGTTCTAACGAGGATCTGGGATCCCTACAGACCCTTTGATCGCTCTGTTCACAGCACAAACACGCAACCTCATCCTTTCAACGGCATAGAGCAACCGACCAAAGATGGCGGATCACCCAGAGCACAAGAAGAAGGTCAACCTCATGTGAGCATGCCCATGCTATCTTTCACTTTTCTTTTCGCTCCGGTATATTTAATGCTAATGGATTCCAGGGACGCCTCGGGCGCTGAGGTCAAGGATGTTCGTAACTTCACCCGACCCCTCTCTATACACCCACCACCCCAGAGCGAAGTCGGAACTGACAAGCATGACAGCAAGATGATACCGCGACCGCCATTCTCAAGAAGAAGAAGAAGCCCAACCAGCTCATGTACGTGCATGAAGACAGTGTTACTTGAAAACAAAAATTAGTTCATGGAGCTGACCTGAAATCCAGGGTCACCGATGCAGTAAACGATGACAACTCCATCATTGCCCTTTCCGAGAATACTATGGAGCAGCTCCAGCTTTTCCGTGGCGATACAGTTCTTGTACGCGGCAAGAAGAGGAAGGATACCGTGTTGATTGTTCTGGCGGACGAGGACCTCGACGACGGCAGTGCTCGCATCAACCGTGTTGTCCGCCACAACCTCCGCGTCAAGCATGGCGACATCATCACCATCCACCCCTGCCCTGACATCAAATATGTATGCATATCTATTCAGAAGACCGAGTTTTTATCAAAGACGCCAGCTAACTCTTTCCCCAGGCCAAGCGAATCGCAGTCCTGCCCATCGCCGACACCATCGAGGGCATCACTGGCTCGCTTTTCGACGTCTTCCTTGCCCCCTACTTCCGGGAAGCCTACCGACCTGTCCGGCAAGGGGATCTCTTCATCGTCCGCGGTGGAATGAGGCAGGTAGAGTTCAAGGTCGTTGAGGTTGACCCTCCCGAGTACGGCATTGTTGCCCAGGATACCGTCATCCACTGCGAGGGCGAGCCCATCCAGCGTGATGAGGAGGAGAATAACCTCAACGAGGTTGGCTACGACGACATTGGTGGTTGCCGGAAGCAGATGGCCCAAATCCGTGAGATGGTCGAGCTGCCTCTCCGTCACCCGCAACTCTTCAAGTCCATCGGTATCAAGCCGCCCCGTGGTGTGCTCCTCTATGGGCCTCCTGGTACTGGTAAGACACTGATGGCTCGTGCTGTCGCCAACGAGACCGGTGCCTTCTTCTTCCTCATCAACGGCCCCGAGATCATGTCAAAGATGGCCGGTGAATCCGAATCCAATCTGCGCAAGGCCTTCGAAGAAGCCGAGAAGAACTCCCCTGCCATCATCTTCATCGATGAGATCGACTCCATTGCCCCCAAGCGAGACAAGACGAACGGCGAAGTAGAGCGTCGTGTCGTATCTCAGCTTCTGACCCTCATGGATGGCATGAAGGCTCGCTCCAACGTCGTCGTCATGGCTGCCACCAACCGGCCCAACTCCATCGACCCGGCCCTCCGCCGCTTTGGTCGTTTCGACCGCGAAGTTGACATCGGCATCCCCGACCCCACCGGCCGTCTCGAGATTCTTCAGATCCATACCAAGAACATGAAGCTGGGCGACGATGTCGACTTGGAGCAGATCGCTTCCGAGACCCACGGTTACGTCGGTTCGGACGTTGCTGCCCTCTGCTCTGAAGCCGCCATGCAGCAGATTCGCGAGAAGATGGACCTCATCGATCTCGACGAGGACACCATCGACGCCGAGGTTCTCGACTCTCTCGGCGTTACCATGGAGAACTTCCGCTTCGCCCTCGGCGTTTCCAACCCCTCCGCCCTCCGCGAGGTTGCCGTTGTCGAGGTGCCCAACGTCCGCTGGGAGGACATCGGCGGCCTGGAAAGCGTCAAGCAGGACCTCAAGGAGAGCGTCCAGTACCCCGTCGACCATCCCGAGAAGTTCCTCAAGTTTGGCCTTTCTCCGTCCCGCGGTGTTCTGTTCTACGGACCCCCCGGTACCGGTAAGACCATGTTGGCCAAGGCTGTCGCCAACGAGTGCGCTGCCAACTTCATCTCCGTCAAGGGTCCCGAGCTTCTCAGCATGTGGTTCGGTGAGTCCGAGAGCAACATTCGGGACATCTTCGACAAGGCTCGTGCCGCTGCCCCCTGCGTCGTCTTCCTCGACGAGTTGGACTCGATCGCTAAGGCCCGTGGTGGATCCGTCGGTGATGCGGGCGGTGCTTCCGATCGCGTTGTCAACCAGCTCCTGACTGGTAAGTAAACAATTAGGCGTCTTGATGACAGACAAGACAGTCTCGGAAATCTTGATGGAGCTTCTTGCTAACTTTGTCCCCGTAGAAATGGACGGCATGACCTCGAAGAAGAATGTGTTCGTTATTGGCGCCACCAACAGGCCTGAGCAGCTCGACCCCGCTCTGTGCCGTCCCGGCCGCCTGGACTCCCTCATCTACGTTCCCCTTCCCGATGAAGCCGGTCGTCTCAGCATTCTCACGGCGCAGCTCCGCAAGACACCCGTCTCCACCGACGTTGACCTCAACTACATCGCCTCCAAGACCCACGGTTTCTCTGGTGCCGATCTGGGCTTCATCACCCAGCGCGCCGTCAAGATCGCCATCAAGGAGTCTATCAACGCAGAAATCGAGAGGCAGAAGGCTCACGAGGCCGCTGGCGAGGAGGCGATGGATGAGGACGCCGAGGATCCTGTCCCTGAGCTGACCAGGCGCCACTTCGAGGAAGCCATGCAAATGGCCAGAAGATCAGTTACCGACGTCGAGATCCGCCGGTACGAGGCCTTTGCCCAGCAAATGAAGAACGCCGGTCCCGGCGCATTCTTCAAGTTCCCCGAAGGTGGCGTCGATTCTGGCAGCGCCGGCGGCGCCGGCAACAACTTTGGAGATGCCGGCAACGATGATGATCTCTACGACTAGATGAGTAGACGGGCTCTCTAAACGCGTTCATTAATGTGGGATTGGGTCTCGTTGTATTTTAGTTATTTTTCTCTTTCTAGTCTTCGTCACGTGGGCATTATCACGCAGGCACACGCACAGATGGGTGCGGGCTGAATCGAGGCATCTTCGTCTTATCTGGCCGGAGCATCATCTGGGGATAAGGAGTTGATAGACAGGTCGTGATAATTGCAGTTTGTTGCCCGATTTCCTTTTTTTTTCCTTTTTTTCTTTTCCTTCCGGTGATGATATAGTGATGCAGTAACCTCTGCATCCCCATATGGATCGTCCTACTCCCCCCCTGAGCTTGGTCTGTCGCTTAGAATGAGTCCCATACTCTAGCAAATCGTACTATATATAGTTAACAAGAACTTGAAGCAAGACTTGCGTTCATATTTTTGTTTATCACCAAAGGAGCCATTGTTTCTTCTTTATAAAAATGTTATATTAGTAAAAACAGCACCACCTCAACTCCTGAATAAACACCACCCTAACTAGGATCTATTGATGCACGAAAGCGCTGTAGTCGAGGTTTTACTCAGCTCAGCTCTGGTTGGCCGTGTCGTCCGTCTTCATAAGTGCCATCCATGCCTTGGAGCGCGGCATCGATGTGTATATAAAATTAGCCCGATTTTACCCCGGTGGCCATGGCCTTCATCAAAGCCGCCGGGCTTCCATTGATTCCGAAAGCATGCCCACACTTTCAGTGTTATTTGTATAAGGAGTCTTTCGTAATGAATTTTACCCTTTTTCTCTTCCTCCTGTTTTTAATCCAGGGAGCGTTGTATGGCGCGTAGTCAAGGTGGAGTTTGTACATCCTGTATCCCCGCTCCCGAGCGATATAGACCGGTATTGGAATATTGCAGATGTCGGGATGGCACCCTCCTTTGGGCGCCACCGTCGCTGGGCTCGCTTGGTAGTCTCTGTTATTCGCTTCACGTCCTCCCCAAGCCAGGGCGCCAAGCTCGCCTGCCTCCGCAGACTGGTTGCGGTGCTCCGAAAAGATTCGAAAAGACCAGCAATAAAAAAAACAATCCGGGAGCGGATCAGGAAGATTATTTCTGGCTCGGGAGGCCGCCTTGAAAGCCTGACTCAGAGTTGACCTAGACCCTGCCGTCTTCGCCGACCTCGCAGATTTCCTCCAGACTCTCGCGAACAACCTTGAGCATCTCCTCGACCACGGCGGTGGGGAGCGCGAGCGTCGGTTTCCCGTCGGCAGCGACTGCGAAGGAGGAGGCAGAGGGTGCGGAGGTAGATGTTAAGGGGGCGGGCGAGGACGCGGCAGGGCTGCCGGAGACGCCGTTAGTCTTCGTGCCGTTAGCCTTGTGTGCGTCCGGGGCAGCCTGGGGCCGGGTGAGGGTGTCGTGGCGGACGTCTTCGAGGACGCGGCGGAGGAGGGTGGGGAACGTGGTGACGTCGCCGGAGCGGAGCATGTCGAGAGCGTGCGACTGGACGTGGGTTGGCCAGTTGGCTTTGTTTGCGTGGAGGGCGTGGAGGAGACGTTCTTGGATCCTTTGTGAGGGGGGAGAAAGTCAGTTATGGAGAAGAGAACAGAAATCGGAGACAGCAACAGGGAAGTAGTAGACCGGTGGCAACGGCGGCTGTGTAGAGGGTTCAGGAGATTGAAGATGAAGCTTGGGGCTACATACCTTTGGACGTGGCCTTCCTTTAATAAGACGGCGTTGATCTGAGATCGTAGGTCCGGGTCGAGGGTGGCAGGGGAGTAATCTGCCGCTGAAGGCGGTACTTTGACCGGAGGTGAGGAAGGGTTGGGCGACATACTGAAGAGGGTAGATGTGTGGATTTGATGAGAGTGGTATGAGGAGTGATGCAGAGCAGAGTAGTTTAGACGAGGCTGGGGGATAGCAGCAGGTGACTGCGGAAGGGGAAGATGTTAGGGACACGAGAGGGTTAGAGACAAAATGGTCATGAGACTAATTGATCGGTTTCTAGAGATGTGTCTCTCGAAGCTGGTGACAGATGTAGGGTAGTTTTGCTCTTTGGGATCGTGACGGGGAAAGTCGTCAGTTGGCTCTGCTCTGTAGATTCCTTCTCGAGGCTGTTGCTAGGTGTCTTTCTTTGTCCAGGGAGGCCAGAATGCATTCGAAACAAATCGAAATGCATGTGAACCATCTGTAAACTTTACACACCAGAGCTCAGTTCCCAAACGGCTGGTGGAAAGGAAAAGGAGGCATAACTTCAATCAGCCAAGGTGAAATAGCCAGTTGCAACTGACGAGGCTGGCTTAACAGAACCCTGCTCTTTTTTACTGGAGAGGATGGCGGTGGATGTGGATTGGAAGGGGCGAGGCTGACGACCTGCAGAAGAAGTTGACACGGATATGGGGGATGTGGGGTCACCATATTTCCTGATTGGGCAGGGGCCATGTGGGGGGGGGAGGGGGGGGGTTTCAAGCGTCCAGTGCCATATGCCATGCTCGACACGACCTCTTCCGTAGCCTCGATACTACTACTCCGTACGTTTCTTGAGCCTCATCGAACCAACGCCGGGACTCTTCCTCTTTTTCCCAATCGGTATGAGGGCTTCCCGGCTTCTTATTACCCGGTTGCAATAGCGAGATATGAATCTTAGTCAGTCTCCAGAAGAGGCTTTCGCTTCGGCTGGAAGTTCTTACGCTCTCAACATCCGAGGATCTTTGACAGCGAATATACACATATTCATTGAGCAGATAATCTTCTCTAAGATCTCACATTGCTTCAAATTGCTTTATCCACTTACTTGGGGAGACTTTAACCTTGTTTTCTCGACCACGGTTTTTGATTCGAGACTTAGGCAAGGTGTCGGAGCTGCTGTTATCCGTCAAGCACTTTTAGGCCTTTTACGGCAGTTTGGAGAAGACTCTTCCCTGGCCATCGACCATGTGCGTACATAGACCAGGGTCGTTGCAGTCTCCCTTTTGCAGTCAAGCGGTACACATTCAGCCGATGTACCCAGCCTCGTACGCGTCTATCAACACAGAACTACACTCCCGGCCTTTCCCTCCCGAGAGCCGGATGAGACTGTCAATGACAGGCGTATGTCTCGGGGTGGCGGGAGACCATCGGCCCGTACCTGGTTCGGAAGCCAAGGCAATTCATCGTGATTGCTTTCGCCGGCACCCCCGAGAGGGCGAATACCCACTCGCGCCGACAATCACTGCCTGATAACGACTATCCCGGAGATCGTTCACTGTCTAGCCCGTACTGAGCAGCGGCCCCAGACGGGACACCAGGACATGGAGGCTGATCGCGGGCTGGATCTTTTACTCCGTACTCCGAGTCGCCGACTTGTATGCTCGCTGGTCGTTCTCTATGGTGCACTCGATACCATGGCCGTTCCCCGTCGAGCAAACTTTAGCTAGCTACCCAGCTGATCTTCGCCACAACGCTCACCGGTCAACCAGAGATGTCGTCTGCCCCCTCCCTCCCTCCACAAGAGGAATGAGCGGTCGGGCATCCTTGGGAAACCTTGTGATCTGGAAGTCCTCGGGTGCGTCCATGTGTTGCTCTCCGATTCGGCCGGAGTAACTCCCGGTGTCATTGCGCGGCGGGTTAGAACCCTCAAAAAGGAAGGAACCCCCCCCCCCCCCCCGGGTGGGGGGGGGGTTCATATTATGGCCCGCCACAGCGAAGCCAAAGACTCCGCCATTTCCTTCTGCTCAAGGCCAGCAAAAGGGAATCAGAAAACGAATAGCAGAAAGGCAAAAAAAATCTTGATATGTGGTGTCTTTTGCGCCTCCATCTCCCGTTGGTCCACAACCCTCGCTTCACCGCCATCTTGCCTGCATAATCCATGTCGGCCGCCATATCCTCCCCGCCGGATCCATCATCAATGCAAGTTACCTATTAGCCGCTCTGATCTCACTCCGCAATGTGACCTCTCAAAGAATTCAACGCCATCTACGTCCTCTTTGCATCATACAGGCTATTTGCCTGGTCCCGGGACTCCGGTAGTGCGCTCCTGCTCCTTGCTAGCTTTGATATAATATCCCATCCATGTTGCATGCCGCATGGGCCCAGGAATCCATCCTTGGACGAGCAGAGCGTCTCACCGATCTCGGGGTTCGAGTCTTCCGAGGTAAGCAAGCACTGGCAACGCAGACAGACTTGCCATGGCAATGTGCAAGCGGTAAGCCTGGTAAACATCGCGTTAATTCCATGTTGGACAGATGAGCCTCTTCGTTATCCACGGTGAGCTGCCGATCACAATTTTTTGAACTCCTCCGCCTTAGATTGTGGTTGGACGTGCCGACATCAACATGGAGCTCTATCAAGCCGATCGCCGAAGTGCCATCAAGGCGGTGCGATGTGAAGCCCGAAGGCTGTTTGTTGTCCAAAGCCGTGCAGAACTCCCCTCGTTTCCTAGTGGTGCAGTCTCCGGTATATGGACACCCGTCGGTTCAACGACGAATTGCCTACGGGATTATTATTTTCCCAGTTCTTCGCTTGATCACGTTGATATACCATGTGGCTGGGACTTGACCCATGGCTAGGTGGTCACTGTGGTGTGGAGTGGCCCTACGCACTCGTAAAGGGCCTTTAACTAGGACCTATTGTCTCCACCAACATCACGGCGACGCAGTATCATAGTTCGCGAATGACCCTTTCCACTTCATGCGCCGCATGGAGACTGCGGATACCTTCTGGACTCTCGATAACGAGACCGCTCCGCATGCTATTTTCCGCCCTCGGTGCTCCATACAAAGTAGATGGCCATCACCGGCCATGAGTTGGATGATCATTTCAAACACCACTGGGGCCACATCATACCTCTACACGTAGAGAGGCGCAGGGAGGCGGGTGGGCTGAACCGTGTCTCGGGTAGGAAAGAAACAACATCTAGTTCAACCTCCAACCACCCTGAGCTTCCTACCGGATGGTAGCGAGAACCTCACTTCATAGGCTCATGCGACTACGAGGTAGTTCGTAGTTCCCGTCACTGGAGAAATATCGCTAGGTTCACGCAAAATCGTGCATTGTGGCGAGAAGCTGGACTCTCGTTCAAGTCTTAGATTCAGCCAATTATATCACTTACATGCCGTGTGGGTTTGCCAATCTTGCCAACAGACGAGTCCCAATGGTTTGGTTACCATGATTCAGAGACATTTCTGGAGATTGGCGGTTGTTGGCTCGATAGTTGGAAATGCGGTGGGTGTAAATGCCAGAAGCAAACTTGAGATCCGGCTGTCCTTCGATTTCGACATATCACACGCAGGCCAGCACTTACACTACAGAACACCATACATACGGCACTACGGGAATCTCCGACCCAGAATTAACCAGCACGGAGAGCGCGAGCCATGGCTCGGTCATTGCTCGTTGTCCCTGAAGTAACAGCCCAACCAAGCTGCCTCGACAAGCAAAGACCCAGTTTCCCGGAAATAACCTAGCATGATCGTCAGCATACATAGGATAGCCCTAAAGATGTCCTGTCCAATGTCGAGACGCTTGGCCTCAAGATAGCGCGCACAGGCGAATCCCGCCCGGCACTGACAGCAGCCCGTGCTGTCGAGCTTCGCGTGGCGAGCAGCCCTCTTTCTACCGTGGCTTGAGCCAAGCCAGTCGTTTCCTGCCTAGAACTTTCGGATCAAGCAAGGGAGAGATAAGGTATCTCCGCACCAACGCAACATCAACGTCGGGGATAAGGCATAGGGCGCCTCTCCCCCCCCAGTACAGAACAGAACAGAACCTCATGCAATGGCAGCCTGGCGCCACAGACATGCCCGCATCGAACAAGATGTTGGTTTCCGAATTGACAGTGATAAGCTGCCGTAGGAAACATCACCATGTAGTCTCGGCCGGTGTTCAAGCTTGTTCTCGGCTGCCTGCTTGGGTCCCGCCTGGAGAAAAACCGTATAGGCGGCTTGGCTACTCGCGTCCCGTTCGGGACATGGCTGGTTTTAGGTAACGCATTCCAGCTGATATTTCCTCTCCCTACAAGTCCTCGCCGGGCGTCGAAGTACGAAGTATCACGAGAGGGCGCCTTCCTGACGAGCTGCCTCCCTTAAGTGCCGAGAGTTACACTATCACAGCCAACCCACGGGCAGGCACTAGGTTCCCCAAAGTTCTAGAAGAGAATGAGAAGACAGAAGACTAAACAACAATAACGTCTGCAGAACCACGCGACTTGGGGACGCGGGGGCCATTGGGAGTTGTGGTACGAGAAGGCGAGACTGGTCCGTCCGCTGCGACCGGCCGCTGCCTGCTTGGATGTTTGCTACATCCCTAAATAAAACAAACCCGCTGAACGTGGGGTAAAATGCGGGCAGAGGAACGTCCCCAGGTCAGGTTACTCGGTAACTATTCGTATGTGACTTGTATCCGCACCTTTGGTCGTTACCGTGTCCGTACTTGCCGGTGTTCCCCAGGGAGCTTTGCGTAGACTGTAACTGGAGCTTACAGTGGGTATAGTGAGAGACAACTCGTGTCTTATGCCTCGAAAAGCGGAAACGTCTTCTTGACGAGCACCATTTCCTGTATCCGATTGATTCTGATTTATGTGGCATGGAAAACCATATGGTGTGACGGAGAGAGAAAGTACCCAACAAACGAACCGAGTCTTTGTGTGTACATGGGTCGTGTTAAAAATCAGAACCTGGAAGGGGGCGGGAAAATTAAAGGAGATGCGATAAAACCCAAGTATTCCGTTTCTTATCGACTGTACGAAGTAACTTCATACGAACCTGGAATGAGACTGGCGGTCGGTGTACTAAACCATTCTTTAAGACAAAGTTCCACCGCATCGTGGGCTTCCTTGTGCTCAGGTCGAGACGTGGCATTCCCTTTCTTTGCCGTCAACATGTGCTCCCCCGAATCTAAAACCGCAAAGTTGGATATGGTACACATATGGTGTTGATAAAGTGGTACGGGGTCGTAACGGCTTGATCCCAAGGGCACGGTACCAATGAGAGGAGAAGAGAATTTGATCTGGGGTAGTGCGATGAGGCTGAAGAACAAGGAACGTCACGATAGTGGGGTTACCTGGTGAAGTAGTCACCTAATCCGGGAATACTCCATAATGGGAAGTAATTATTAATCAATTCTTCCATCTCACCGATCTTTATCCCCAAAGAGGGGTGGGCTAAAGCTTCCAATCCAACCATGTCCATACACCAGGAAGGAGGACTTCAACACTAGGCACCTTACCTTACTCACACCGAGTCAACACGACCCAACGAGGTCGAGGCCCACGATGAATGGAACGAAGCAGCAGGATGGGTCTCGGCCGGGATCTTAGCGAGTCTCAAGTCCGCTACGCTACGTCATGCCATGCTTCCTTCCCCGAGCACAGATTACGAAGCGAAGTTACGCTCGTGTCGTGCAGCTGTTTGACATGCCCGAACACCACGCGGGTTGTGAGAATATAAAATATACCGGTACCTACGGATATGCAGACAGGCATATGTGCCAGCCCTTCGTACGGTGATGGATCTTCGATTTCCTATCTGCTCTCTTTCCCGTCTTCCGTTCCTGGGGGGGGGGGGGGGTTGGTTTATGTTTTGGTGTCCAAGAGCAATCTGTCACATCACCCTGGCCAGTGTGGACGGAAGACAGAACCGGGGGTCGCCGACCGGTGTACTTGATGACGGAGCGAAAGGTGTGCGCTGCTTACCAACACCACCTACTCGTACGGAGTACAGCCGACAACCATGGGTGTGTTGTAGTTACCTCTGTGCGTTTATCCGAAGCTTTGCATGTCGCAGTGCCTTAACGAGGACCAAGCGAGGCGGGCCTGAGTCAACGGGGCCCGCATACGCACCCGAACGATCGGGCGATGGCAGGGACACAAGTGGCATCGCAAGGGGTGTTGAGAAAAGTAACCATCACGCGAAGATACCGGCGCACTTTGAGGCGGTTTTGTTGTCGACTCGAAGGAACATGGGGGGATGATGAATCTTGAAAGTGAATACAAACCACGTCGACGGTATTACATGTCAAGCGAAGTCATTGGAGCGGCTGCGGGAGGAGCATGGCAGTTCGAACATGCCGGGAGTAGGCCACCGGTCTCATGCCCCACGCAGACATGTACGAAGTAGAAACATGGGCACCATTGCAGCTTCCTCCCAGCGAAAAGATGTCGGTACTATTCGCGTAAAAAAAAAAAATCTTTTTTGACGTGACGAGGCGCTCTGAAGCAAGGGGGTTAACATGTGCCGACAGGGGCTTTGTACTGTGGCGGGATGGGGACCGACGTGACGGCGGTCAAACCCGGGGACCCCGTGGAGTCAGGATGTCACAGAATCTCTCGAAGGATCAGATACGATGTCAAGGACGGACGAGTATGCCCTACCAAGACCAAGGGTATGTACATGAATTTGCGGTGCTCAATCAAGCAAAGTGATGCCTCATACCGGGACCAATTGTCGAGCGGCCCGGTGTGGCGGCTTAATTAATATATCGCGCTGAAAGCCAGCCCATTATGTACGTACGTACCGCCCCACCCTTACACCGATTTTAATGAGGTGCTTTGGTCCTGCCTGACGCCTTTCCGAGATGGGAAGATCGATGAGGAATATTGGAGCCGTTACGGGATACCTAATAAAGGGAGAAAGTACATACGCATCTCGGGTGATGTGCATTGGGAGGAAGGGCAGGGCAGATTTCAAGGATGTGGATGTATCTCCCCAAGGGGGAACCCGCACTACAACGTACGGAACGGCATTGGGCCGATTTCCCGTCAGGTTTGGATAAAAATCTGTCCACGTCCGCATCCGTCTCGACGCCAGCAGGACGCCGCCAGATAAGCATGTGGAGACCGCAACGTGGCCGTGGCTTTCGTTAAGAATACGTATCCGTGGATGTTATCAGATGGTCCTCGCCAATGTCACCTCGAGGCTATTTCCACGTCGGCACTGGTTTTGCGTCCTTCCACCGTCATTCAGCCCAGCATGGCCATACGTTGTACATACGTGGAGGCACCGTCAAGGGGACACGACTCCCGGCCCGCTATTAGCCATTCCTAAAAACAGCGGACATTTTTCTCGTTCGTCCAACCGGGAAAAGACCTAACTTATAATTTGACCGCAGACAACTTCTGTGTATCGAATCACACCAGGTGCCTGCCCATCAACGTGGGAGAGGGCTGGATAATTCCAAGGCCACGACTTGTTACATTTGACTCCAGAGTGTAGTTATATCCGTGAGTGTCTCGGACTCAAAGATCTTTAGCCCCGGTGGGGGGGGGGGGGACCGCGTGATGAGAAACTACCTAATCTCAAGGACGGGCGTTCCCATAAGGGCGTCTCGAAAGAGCCGTGCTCGAAACTGTGACAAGAGCTGCAGCACATGGAGCTCGGTGACGCCGGCTTTCGCTGACTCGAGTCAAATGAGACAAAGAGAAGGGCATGGTATGGTGGTGATGGTGGTCTGGTCAACCTCCCCCAATTTCCCTCGCAATGAGTAGGGGTGGCAGTTAAGGTGGAGCTGGGGTCGGGGGATGCGCTTTGGACAGGGTACTTCGTACGTGTCCAGTAATTACTGTCATATACATAAGCACAACCCTATGAGTATGAAATTTCCGTACGAAGTAGGAAATTAAGGAATGCGTCGAGATCAATGGTCAGTCGAGGTTAGTACTCAAGATGTACGAAGGAGGTAGGTAATAAGGTCGTCTTCAGGGTACAACGTACATGCATGTCCGCTCCTGCACCCACCACCACGATACAACGCACGCACCATAACAAGGCGGTGAGGGACTGGGACGCTGCCGTTTGGTTCGATCCCCTGCGCCCTGGACCTTGTCACCTCTAGATTGTGTCAAAGTGTCATCATCCCGTCCCGGCACGAAGACGGACTAACGAAGTACGAAAGTACGAAAGTACGAAAGTACGAAAGTACGAAAGTACGAAAGTATGAAAGTAGGTATGAAAGTACGAAGGTACGAAGGTACTTCTTCGTACCTTACCTTAGGTAACAAAAAGTAGGTACTTCAAACCTTTGTACCTACAGCAGATGTCTGTCCCCATGCCAAGCCGCACCGGTTGGCGAAATGCAAGTCTGATCACGCCTTTGGCGTCGACTCGAACCCTAATGGGGACCAGAGGTGCGGAGTGCTTGTCGGTCTGGAACCTTTTGTTTCGTCACTGGCGAGACCATTCCCCGGATTGACTTCTTAAAGAGAATACCTACAGGTGCTGCAGGAGCTAGAAATCACCTGAAGCCGCACTCTTTTAACGTGGATATTTTGGCAATTTTGGGCAGCTCCCATAAGTCGTGATCTTTGCAAATGTTTTTATGGTCAAATCCAGTCTCACTCACCCTTGTTTTCTCGCGGGAGCTTCCACCACGAGGTATGGCTGCCCTGAACCGGGAGCGGTTTGAGCCTCGACTTCAACTCAAGATGGACGTGCCGAGGATACATACACGGCTGACGGGACGGGACGGAAAGACAGGGGAAGGTTATAACCGTGCCCGAGGTACAAGAGTTACCTAGTACCCGAGGATTGGGTAGAGCGCATATGCGAATGAACCCCCTCGAGAATGAGGGAGATGACATGCCAGTGATGCTTTGTAAATCAAGATCAAAAGAGAGGGGGGGGAGGGTCAAGGATATGGCATAAAATCACGATGGGTAAGGAACAGGGTAAAAGGCCGTGGCGCAGTCGATATCGGCAGCGGCAATCTCGAAAAGAAGCCTACCAACGGTACTATCCGAAGAAGTGGCGTCCTGAGTTTCTGTTCTACAACGTACACGTGTAGTGCCAATCCTATACCAAATCTGTTGGGATAAAAGCAAGTGCCGAGACGAGGCGGTATCTAAAGAGCAGCATCTCTCTTGTGGACATTCCATCCCCCAAACCAAAACTACCTTGGCCGGCGAAGTTTTGGGTAGGTAGCCCATTAATAGTTAGGGTCGCGGTAAGACCTGTATTTAATTGTAAGGTAGGGGTAACGCGACGAGTTGTGTTTGAGCCGCTAGATTGAACTTGGCTGGTACGCTCACGGCGCCCGTCACGTACTGTAGTAAGTACAAGGGAATAAGAAATATGCCGCCTGGGCGCCTCACGGGAGCGACGACGATCAAAATCACATCACATCGTCGTCGAATCCTCATCGTCCCTGGTCGGAGGATCTACCACTCCGTAATTATTCGTCCAATTGACGAGGACCCTGGAGGAGAAGCAAGTCAGAGACCGGACGGGATCTCACGGGACGGCAACGTGGGAAACCCAGTGCGGCCGCATACATTGGCACGTCCACTATCCCCATTATGGGGGTCGTGGTGGTCCTTGTCCGTCACGGACGAAGCTAGGGGACGACGGACGAGACCCCCCCGCGGGAACAAGAACATGGGTGTGGGTGTTGTGCGCAATCGAAATCTCGTCAAATTTTCCTCTCGTCACCTCGTCTTTCGTACTATACGTAATAATTAATAACCCACTCAGACAGCCTCTTTAACAAATTCGAACGGATGAAGTGCCTGAGGTAGGCATGGACCGGAGTACCTGCATGAGTCTTCGAGAACTCGACTTCGTAGGTGTCCTGTCAAGCCCTGACCTTACCAGAATACGATGAAATTGCGCCGCTTCTGACTGAATTGTCTCGATGAAATCCACGGCATGGGAAAGGAGCTATGCACACTGCCCGGAGGTTTCCGAGTAGGGAAGGGTTTGTTCGCCGGGATGTGCGTGCACAGAGCGTCTGTCTCCCTTTATTACTCCGTAATTAATTATTTCGTACCGTCTGCCTACCTACCTCAGGTACGTTGTAGGTAGGCTACCTTCCTATGCGGATACCGACTTCACGGCCCGGTTCCCTTTGATTTCTGCAACTCGGATATCAACTACGGAGTACTGCCCCTCAGACGGGTCTGGCAATGCGATTACCTCCCCTTTCCCCCTTGGTACGAGATCTAGACGGCGACGAGGGGTCCCTACCTTACATAGGTACCTACATACCTACCTTACTTAAGGCGGTCCGGAGGTCTGTGTTGATGCTGCTACCTTGTTATGCTTGTCATAGTAACCTTGCCTGCCGGTGTGCTACGTGCATATTGTATATTGTACTTACTTACCTTACATTGCCTGCTGATTTTGACAGTTTGTGGAGTACGGATACGGAGATGGACTCACTCGCAGCTGTCGCCGATGCTTATTTTACCTATGTTGTACCCCTAGGAGGGGGTGTCGAGTCGCAGCCTGCTCCCGATCTTCCATACACTTTGTCATGCCGCTGTCTCTGAGGTATCGGGAGGCTTGCTGTTTTGTTTGTAACTACCTATCTTACTTCGTACTCGTCCCCTTGTCGACTGTGTGTGGTTGTCGCTTGAGCGCCATTCAGCCCCTGATAGACGGTTCGATGTGCCTGCCTAACCTCGCCACCTGTCTCTCTTCGGGCAGCAGATGTTGGGCCTGTCGAGTAAAGGATCATATATACCAGCCTGGCTGTGGCTCGAAATAGAAATAGAAAGTGAAGAGGTCATCGGGTATCAAGATTGAGGCGGTATTATCATGTTATCGGCCAGATATCCAAGGTAAGTGAGGTAGGTACCTACCTTAGGTAGGCGAAGAAGGTATCAAGTAAGAGGGGAAGGAATATATGTATTTGCCCCCTCCCTCTTGAGATCTCAGACCGGCAACTAGCGGTTAGTTACTCTCCCGGTTCTTCTTCTACTACCTGCCTTACCTTAGGTAGGAGATAATTACGTAGATACGGAAGGTACCTTATCCATTACTGCCTCAATCCATTTCATTGTCGCTCACCTACTTGCACCTTCCTTGTCCCATTCGATATTCCCGCCATTCCTCTCCTCCCCCTTTTTCCTCCTTGGGAATTATACAGTTACACCCCTCTGTCTCATCTTCTTCCCTTCCGGTATTCTACTTCTTCGAGCTTCATCTCCTGCCATTATTCCCCCACCCAGACAGTTCTAGGAATAAAGTCATATAACAGGACACACCAGCTCAACAATCCGGGCGTAGTAGTTCATCTTTCCACTGCTGCCAACGGCTCATTATCTTCACAGTGGTATAATTTCAAAAGAAAGAAGAACAAACAATCTTCCGCGCGCTATTAATCGGCCTTTGGCCCTTTATCACCAACATATCCTTTCAGAGGTTAGTATCTGCCCCTTGCTCACTACCTTACTACAATCACCTTCAATAAACTCCCTGCCTTACCTTATTCATCATTCCACATTGTACACCGCAAATTCTACAAAGACCACCACTTCCCCTAATACCTTGCCTACTTGGGGGTTAAGGTACCTCCTTCCCACCTACCTTATTTTTTGGTACTGCTTGCCCTCTTTCCCCTCCCTGCCACCTGCCCTTATAAGATGGGAAATCTGTGTTTAGAGATTTTCCCTACACCGACTTCTCTACCTAATTCTTCTATTCATCCTTATCGTCCACAGTTTTCTTAACACTTCCACCCCCGCCAGTGTTGATACGTTATTCTTTTTATCCTGTCTGCATGGGTTGACCACCATTATTCATACCTATTCCATTTCCTATGCGTATGCTTGAGCTTGACACACTCACCCACACACGGCAAGAAGGCACATCTAACAGCCACAGAGCACTACTCCAAAGAACCCTGTCTTCCTCTCGACATTACCTACACGTATATTCCTCATCCCCGGTTCCTGGTCACTGCGGTTAGGTATTCAGCATCTCTGTCATCGGCTCCACAACACGCACGTCGAGAGTTTCGCCTTGGCGAGATCTTGGCTCTTCTACGTGCAGTTCTGTAAGCCAGCAGCCTTCCCATGCCTTTTCTTACTAACCCTCCGCCTTACTCCACCACGCCAAGGAATATATATGTCTTGGTTGACTTGGACACTGTTAACACCGGAATAGGGCCCTGGTAAGCTAAAAAGGGAGGCTACCACGCATTTAATAGTCCCACTGACTGACGGACTGGGCAAAATACCCAGGGTATGTATGTATTGTTCCCCACCCCCCCCCCCCCCCCCCCCGGCTTCTGACCTGCCTTTGCCTGCCAGAGCAAAAGCACAATCATCTACTGCACCAAGAAAAGAAAGGGGCTTTATACTAACTCGAAGACCTCGTACTTGTTGCCAGTTGGTTCTACCAGTAAGGAGAAGCAACTCGCAAATACGTTGGTACTTTATACAGCCACCAGGAGCTGAAAGATCGATCTTTGTCCACCTTGGACAATCCCCGCCTACGGTACTTGTGTGTTCGTTATAGCCACTGAGAAGAAAATACGGCCGCTAACGAAGGGGGGAGTGTGCGCCAGAATACGGCTGTCACCTGTGAGAGCCATTGCCACTGGTAAGTCACCCGACCCCACTATGTCCACCATACCCACCAACCCACACCCTCGTGCCGGGATTGTCCAAGACCAGAAGCCTGTCTAGGCTCTTGAGAGGCCATCTGAGCTCTGGTAGTGCCCACCCATCCTGCATGCCCTTCATCGACCCCCGTTGCACCCTGGCGCACCCTACCCTGGCACGCCCTGGTACCTCCCGTTCCCGTACTATACGTACCACCTGCACTGCGAGTGGTTTGTCTGTGTTCATGCTAACCACTAGGCCCAGCTGGACTCGGTGTCCGTAGGTACATAATCGACCCAATTTAGGCGGTGCGGGTGAACCACTTTCTTCAGTCCGACCAGCGGAAAGCAAAGCTCGAGAGGGCCACTGACAGAGACCAGAGGGGCTCCGACCACATCTACTGAGTACTATACACTAAGCGCCCGTCCGTGGTCCGCTTTGGTCCTTTATCCTCTTCTCTCCTCCATCAACATCTCCCCTCTCTGTTCTAGCAGGAGGTAAATTGCTGTCCGTCTTGGGGTCAAGGTCGTCTTGTTCACTCTCTACGGCAACGGCGATGTGCTTTCTATGGTAATTGTCTTTCTTAATTACCCAAACACTCGTTGTAAGTCTTTCTCTTTGCTCTCTCGTCCACCACCAACCCCCCCTCTCCCCCCCTCTTAGTTGCTATTCCCATCCCACCTTGTGCGCATAGCACCTTGCGTACCGACTTCTGCGCGCATGATAAGCTGCCACTATAGCTGCCTCTGTGACACTTGGTGCGGTTTGGGGATCACTTCTGCAGCCTGTCATGCCCACGTGCTGTTTCTTGGGTCTTCTTTTTGGGTTTTCTGACAGCTCATTATTGTGCTTTTCACAGACCACCATGGCGTCCCAGGAGCAGGTCCTCTTCCCCGCCACAGCGGTTTCGGACCCTTTAACCGTCCCCGAAGACTCGACTGCCGCCCGCCTCTTGAACCGCACCCTCAAGCTCTACCCATTGGTTCTGTTACTGGCCTTCTTCGCCTCGAACGTCATTTATAGCATACTCACGGCAAAGGAGGAGGAGGAGCTTGCTGTTGATACCGATGCCAGAGGCCCAGGTGGCAAGCCGTTGCCCATCACAAAAAAGAAGCGGAAGGGCAACAATGACAGTGACAGGAACCACTGGGGCCCGTGTCTGTCACCAGCCTCTCGGCTCGTCCTCAGGTCCATCTCGTGCGTTCTTCTCCTAGCCTTCTGCGCCAATGGCGTGGCGCACTTTGCCCACGTCATTGAGGTGTGGCCAGCCCAGAAGAGAGGCGAAGACGTCTGGCGAGAGAGTGACGCGATGAGTGTGAGTACTTGCTCCCATGTCATATGATTGCTTCGTATCCCTTCCAAGATCTAGCGAGCTGACAGTTGGCATCCTCTGCCTTTTACCCACCAGGTCTTCCTTATCGGCGGCACGAACCTCTACCTATACTTTCTGCTCTCCCTCTTCGAGGATAACGACAGCCCTTCGGTGGTGCATTTTGCGACCTGGACACTTGCCCTGATTGTAGAAACCATCATCTGCCTCTGCTCTTTCCTCGTTGCGGAGGAGTGCACTGGCGACAACACGAGCACCTATAACCCGATGGAAGTTGCAGCGGAGGTTCTCAGCAAGTGGCAAGTCGTGGATATCGCCGTGTCTGCGGTGCGACTCGTGATGCTGTTCGCCGTCGTGGCTATGTATGGAATCCTTTGGATCCAACAAGCCCTGGCCGAGCGGGAGAAGAGAGAGGCCGATAATGTTGAAGAAGCCACGCCACTTCTCCATGATTCTCGCACGTCATACCACATTCACATTGGAAACGCAAACTCTAGCGGAAATGCCAACGGTCTCCCCACGGGACACGCCATTGGAAACGCTAATGGAGGTGCCATCGGTAGCGCCAACGGCCACGAATCCCACACGCGCGAGGCTAATGGCCGCAGTGTACGAGGAAGGACCACCCGCAATCGGTCGGCTACACTTAATGGCAACGGAGCGGCACCCGGTGCGACAGGTTCCTTCAGGGATGAACAAGCGGCCTTCTACCGACCCGAGAAGATTCCTCACATGACTTGGTGGGAGTACCTGAGAGGGTACAAGGTTTTCTTCCCCTATCTTTGGCCCATGGATTCGCTGCGTCTGCAGATCCTCTTCGGGTTTTGTGTCGTCCTCCTGGTTGCCCAGCGCATTGTCAACATTGCCGTGCCTCTGCAGGTAGGCCGGCTCACCGACAGCCTGTCTTCCGGTGGCAGCCCGCCATGGCTTCCGCTGGCCTTGTTCATCATCTACAAACTCCTTCAGGGCCCGTCGATGCTACTGGGCGCTCTTCGCTTGATTTTGTGGGTGCCCATTTCCCAGTACTCCTACCGGGCCTTGACGACCTCGGCCTTTGAACACGTCCACTCGCTGAGCTTGGACTTCCACCTCGGAAAGCGAACGGGCGAGGTTCTGTCGGCACTTAACAAGGGCGCGTCTATCAACCAGTTCCTCGAGCAGATCACTTTCCAGGTGGGGCCAATGCTCCTGGACTTGGGCCTGGCAGTCGTATTCTTTTACAGAATCTTCGATGCGACCTATGCAGTGATCGTTTGCTGCATCGCTTTCTGGTATCTCTATCTCACCGTCCGGATGGCGCGGACCCGAGCCGACCAGCGCCGAGCTATGACCAATGCGGACAGGGAAGAAGAGGCAGTGAAGAACGACTCGATCACTAGCTATGAGACAGTCAAGTATTTCAACGCCGAAGCTTGGGAATTCAAAAGATACCGTGACGCCATCAGCGTCTTCCAGACCGCAGAAGCCCAGGTTACCTGGGGCATCAACAAAATGAACGTCATCCAGGCCCTTGTCTTCATGTCCGGCATGGCTGTCGTCCTCGTTCTCGGGGCATACCAGGTGACGAGCAAGCAACGCACCGTCGGCGACTTCGTTACTCTGATCGCCTATCTCGAGCAGCTGCAGAGCCCCCTGAACTTCTTCAGCACTTTCTACCGCAACATTCAGCAAGCTATGATCTCAGGCGAGAGGCTACTGGAGCTGTTCAAGATTAAGCCTACCGTCGTGGATGCTCCTGGTGCGAAGCCGCTGAAAGAGTGCAACGGGCACATTCGATGGAACAATGTCGCCTTCCACTACAGCGACCGTGCTCCTGCTCTCGAGAACCTCGACTTTGAGTGCGCTCCAGGCACCACGACGGCGTTCGTGGGCGAGTCCGGGGGAGGCAAGTCGACCATTTTCCGGCTAATGTTCCGCTATTACAATAGCACGAAGGGGAGCATCGAAATCGATGGCAACGATGTCAAGGATCTGACCATCGACTCCGTGCGGCGGTTCATCGGAGTAGTGCCCCAGGACACCACCCTGTTCAACGAGACGTTGATGTACAACCTGAGATACGCAAACCCTGCAGCCACCGACGAGGAAGTCCACGAGGCGTGCCGGACCGCAAGCATTCACGATCGGATCATGTCCTTCCCTGATGGGTACAATACCAAAGTCGGCGACCGTGGGCTTCGACTGAGCGGAGGAGAGCGGCAACGCGTGGCCATCGCACGGACCATTCTGAAGAACCCCAGAATTATTATGTTGGACGAGGCCACCTCTGCTCTCGATGCACACACGGAGAAGGAGATCCAAGGCAAGCTTGGTAAGATTGGCGAAGGCCGTACGCTTCTGCTGATTGCGTAAGTCAACTCTCCCCATGTTGCCCAACCTGTGTGCAGCGATCGATCAATGATGCTAACTTTTTTTTTTCTTTTTTTTCCCGTAGGCACCGGCTTTCCACCATTACGCAAGCGGATCAGATCATCGTCCTTAGTCAAGGAAAGATTGTCGAGAAAGGCACGCACAACGAGCTTGTCCAAGCTAATGGCAAATATGCCTCCATGTGGGCCAAACAGGTGGAAGCAGAAAGAGCGGTCAAGGTGGCTCGGATTGCGAGCAAGAAGGCCCACAAACTCATGCGGAAGGCAAACATCCCAGGCCGTCGCGATGCCGATAGCCAGTCCGACGTAGACGGATATAACAGCCTTGCATCTTCCACCTTCCTCGCCGAAGGAGGTGATGGGGCTTCAACTTCTGCTTCGAAATGCGGAACGGTGAGCGAGGACACCTCCAGCTCTTCCCGCGCTTCTTCCGACACCGACTCTACCAATTCAGATCATCATGGTCACTAGATGGTGCTGATTCTGGAACACGATGCGACGATATGATATTTTTTGATCGACGTTCTTGCTGCCTGCCAATGCTGGATACTAACACCTGAACCATGGCCATACAACACACTCAACCACCACATATCCATGCATCACTCCTCGCCTGCACATAGCACTATTAAACAATCCTAGACAGGCTCGGAGAATGCCTGTTCTCTTCATCAGCCCACCACCTGCATTTCTGGCGAGCATTCTTCATTTTGCTGCATAATAGGCACTCAGCTGACCTCACAATACGAGGGGGGCTGCTAATATTTCTACTTTCTCTTTAACGACCTACGAAGAGCCACGAACCGCATCGCCTCGGAATCATGCCCAAAGAATGCATCAGGTTGGCGACTCGGCGTTTTGGAGTTTACCTACATACCTTTTTTTGCGCTTGCTCTATACAGCAGTACGGTAACCAACTTACTATGCGGGATCAGAGCATACCGCCTATGTATTCGGCAGCCCATGTGGAATATACGAATCTCCAGGTTCATTTTGAATCTCAACATGCGACACGAAACGGACAATGGATTGGAGCAAGGTCTTTGGTGTCATCCGGCTACATGGATGCGGACCTATACTATCCGGTTTAGACCTTTGATTTCGCGACTTTATTTTTTTAGTCCTTCTTCTCTCTTCTCTCTGTCTTTTTTTTTTCTTCTCATTTTTCTTTGACGCGTAGTTTGCGCGCCTCTTAATTCTTCCTTCAACAAAGATTTCACTTTGGGAGGCAACATTCATCACTGCCTGGCAATGACCTGGAGGATGGAATATGGTGGCTGCATGTGGATTTCTGGTTTTGGCTTTTGCTTTTGGGGTAGGGGATCTGTCTGATGTGGACAAGGAAGTGCACGCCGAAAATATATGGCCTGCAGCAAATCGTGAGTAGGCAGAAGATGTCACCACATTTCCCTTACGTGTGCGGATAGGCAGGCAATTTTTTTTTTCTTTTTTTCTTTTTCTTTTTGTGGCTTGGGTGCCTCATTCCTCTCCAGTTTCCTTTTGACTCTCTGGTCTCTCTCCCTGTGGAGGAAATACAAAAAAGGGGCAATCTTTTGCTGGTCTACGAAAATAAGGACAGGGTTACAAAGGGGGACTCTAGCTTCGCAGCTAAAAACCAAAAAAGTGCGTACCTAAAGACGTTTGTTGCTCTGATTGCCGATGTGTGCTATTTCTTGCCTTTTGTTCTCGCTATGTTACTTGCCACCATGAAAACAATATGGCTAGCCCACTGCAGCCATCTTCTCGGCCGTCCTTCCATGCCTTACAGAGTATCCGTACATTGAAACAAAGCAATTGCCCACGTAACGGTGTGGATGAAGGCTCATGGCAAAGGACACAACGTCGGAGTCGGGAATCGGATGATCTGACGGACCTGGTCACCGGGAAGGCTGAGACACTGGTGATCAAGTCTGGGGGATGAACATCCAAATGTGAGACGGAGTGGCTATGTATGAGGTGCTGGCTATGTATTAACAAAGGCTCCCTACCTAAGGTAGAGCAAGGTCGGATCATAATGCAACAGATATATACAGTTATACAATGGGCTTGAGGCTCGAGGCCTCTTTTGCCAGGCGAACAGAGAGAATATTAATAATTAGTAAAAAAGCTCATCCTCTTTCCTTTCGTCATGGGACCACAGTTCAATAGAAAAGAAGCTTTCTCGAGTCCATCCATTTATGCGTCCTTGCCCACTTGCCGAGTGTCCGTCCAACCAATTGAACCCGCCCGTTTCTTGATTTCCATCATCAGCACACCCTGAGATTCGGGTGCTTCGGCAAAGTGGCTGCGCCTTGTCGAGTCGACGGTGCATATCCGGACGCCAACCAGCTGATTTCCAGAGTTCTGATCATGATCCTCTAGAGACAGTGGGAAAGGGAGGAGGGGTGCAGTCGTCAGGGGATCCGAGCGCAGCACCAATATCAGACAGGCAGGTTACCGGAGGGTTTGGAACAAACCAAAGGTGACATATGACCTTGACCCACACGACCCGGGGGACCGGATCCGAAGCCGCCCGCGTCACCCGGAAGCTGAGGATGGGTCGTGGGGCCACGAGGCTGCCTTCCCCCGGGATGCAGGCTAATGACGAGAGAAGTGTCTGCAGGACATGGGCTTGTGTCCGCCCCGGGTGGGGAGAAAAAAAGGGAGGGGGGGGGATAATGGGGTCTTGAGTCACGCGACCTCATGTGAGCCGAGTCGAGTCTGAAGACTCCACCCACCCAAGAAGCTTGGTCTAGCCCACGACAAGCCCGTCATCCGCGCAGGAAACCCGCCACGGCCTGAACCGACCTGGACGACCTAGTTGTCTCAGAAACCCGCAGAAAAATGGGCTGGTCGGATTGATAATAAAGCGGAAAGAGGCGGAGAATGTCACACGAGACGTGACTGAGATCGGTCTGATCATCTGATCACAGGTCGACCGTGTTCTGTATTTCCCCAGCTTTTCGCTTTGCCTTGATGGGAGGTGTCGTGACGGGTCCTTGGTGCACCCCCAACTTCGCATGCCGTGTGCGGCCGGGATCCGTCCGTCAGTCGTGCAGATTCGAGGCCCTTGAATCGGAAAACCGTCAACCGCTAAAGGGGAAGGACGGGTGGGTGGATTGAACGAGTTGATGCCATATAGCCAAATCGAGGGGGAAAATCCACCAGGAATCCCCCGACTGCTTGCCCGTCTCGTCTCTTCGTGATCTTTTTGCCAACGATACTTCATCTCTCTCCATCAAGTGGTCGTGGCGAGCGTTGCCAATGCTGCTTGGCTTGCAGGTTCAAAAGCGAGTGGTCGATAATGCGATTCTCCC